TATGGATACATTCTGTATATAATTTGTATATATGAATATGATCTGTAAGCTGTAATAACTGCAAATTATTAGTGAAATAATGATTCTTGCAGAATCTCCCTCTCTTTGCTCCGTGGACAAGGTTCATGAAGCAGGAAAGCCCGTTGCTCCGCCCGTGACCCTCTGCATGTGGAGTGCACCAGCCAAGGGCCCGTGTGTTTCCGGGTAGTCTGTCAGCACAGAGAACAGGTGGCTTCACCTTGACCCGTCTCTTAAAGCAAAGAGCAAATGGTTGGTCTAGGGCCAGAAAGGCCTTTCTTACGACCCAGAGAGGTCAGGGCAGGTTTTTATCGAGGGCTGGGGCACAAACAAGCCTTGGGAGGCCAAGGGCAGAGGCTGAGCTGGGAGGGGACTCTGGGGGTAGGCTTGTTCTGACTCCTCAGCTTTTTGGAGTCCTAGACAGTGTTATTTGTATCTCATTTGCAGACCACTTACTGAGCTAGTAAATTAAATGTCAAGAAGCTGAGATAAAACGTGGACCCAGCCTCTTCATCCCAGCCTGGGATCTTTAAGCCTGCTAAGTTAAAATGGGCAGGAACACTCTCGTCCCTTCCCCTAACCTCTTTCAGGGCGAGCTAAGGGGTGGGGGAGGTGAGCGACACCACAGCAGGCAGAAGGTAACACACTCTGGGTATTCTTGAGGTCAGGAAATTAACATTGATACAGCGTTTTGCAATTTCTCCAGCAATCCTAAAGGGCTTTAGAGTAACATAAAAGATATAATTTTCATTTAGTCCTAAAAACAAAAACAGAAAAACCCTGTGAGGTAGATAATGTTATTTCACAGTGTCCATTTTACAGGTAAAGAAACTGAGATTCGGCAAAGTCAAATGACCGAACTGGCATTGGACCCCAACCTTCTCCTGGGTTCTTTTTAATGCTTCCTAGTCTTGCTATTTCAGTGCTCTGGGAGCCTAGGACCACCCCCCCCCCCGCCACCGGTGCAGGGACCTTACCCCTTGGAAGCTGTGTCCTGGGGCCGCGTCTCTGCCATTTGCCTGGGCAAAGAGGACTGCATCATGTATGCTGGGGAAGACATGGCTGCGCTCTAGACCTCCATCTTCAAAGATGCCTCCATGGCTAATGTCATTGTACACCTGGGCTAGAGAGAGAAAAAGATCACCTTGTGAAGGTAACAGTCACTGTGCATTGGGGCTGAGGGAGGATGGAGAGACCAGGGTTGGGAGGGAAGGAGAGAGAGAAAGGCCTGAGGTTTGTGCTCTGGCTGCATCCAAGAGCCATGGGCACTGCAATATCCCTTCTGAGCAGCAGAGGGCATCATGATGTTGAGGATGCTGAATCTTCAACCCAGGGCAGAAGGAAGCAGTTTGATTCAGGAAAGTGGTAATTGGAGAGGGAAAGGCTACAGCATCCTTGGGGAGGCTGCTGCCAGCTTCTTCCCCTAAGGGCTCATCCTGCCTCTTTGTTTACCCAGACCTTTCCCACAACTTCACCTGTGTGTGGCAGAGACCTTGCTCTTCCCAAATTCTAGGGATGCTTTGCTGAGGTAGAGAAAACAAAACAAGCAAACAAAAAACCCAAACCCATTGCCGTCAAGTTGATTCTGACTCCTAGAGCAGAACTGTCCCATAGGTGGATTCAAACTGATGACCTTTTGGTTAGCAGCCAAGCTCTTAACTACTGTGCCACCAGGGCTCCAAGAGGAGGCAAGAGGAATTTCACTGATTCTAACTCTGGAGTACATGCTTAGCAGGTCATTGCCGTCTAGAATTGTGCTCCCCGAGCAGGGTCCCCACAAAGCCTGGAATGTGCTTAGGTCAGCTCTGAAGTCAGGCAGCCCTGCTGCGAGGGACCTGACCCTCTGCTTGAAGCTGAGTGTGTGTGTATGCGCCCTCCACACCATCTTCTGTATCTGTGTGCGCTCACTGTGGCTCTGTGTCTGTGCCCTTTGCATACGTGCTAATGATGTGAACCTACACTGTCCTGTGGACATGTCGTTGGGCTGTGTACCTGTACCCTTTGGGTTGTGCATATAAAACTGATGTGTGTGCTCTATACTTACATAGATTCATGGACTTCTAGATTTGGAGAGAACCCTCAAATTCATTTAGTCACCGTTCTCATTTAGTGTAGGAGGGAACTGATCCCTAGACAGATAAAGTGACTCGGCCAAGGTCACATGGCAAATCAGTGATGGGGGCAGATGAGAATCCTAGTTGTCCATTCTCAAGTTCTGCATCTGACCCCTCACTCTGTTATTGAGAACTTTAGGCTGTTTACAAGAAGCCCTGGTGGTACAATGGTTAAGCACTCGGCTGCTAACCAAAAGTTTGCGGTTCAAACCACCCAGCGGCTCCATGGGAGAAAGACCTGGCAGTATGATCCCGTAAAGATTACAGCCTAGAAAACCCTATGGGGCAGCTCTACTCTGTCACACGGGGTTGCTATGAGTTGAAATCAACTGCACTGCACCTGACGATAACAACAAGGATGTTTCCAGAGTCCCCGTGTGGTTGCAAAGGAGTCCCCAAGTGGTGCAAACGGTTATGCGCTCAGCTGCTAAGCAAAAAGTTGGTGGTTTGAGTCCACCCAGAGATGCCTTGGAAGAAAGGCCTGGTGATCTACTTCCAAAAAATCAGCCATTGAAACCCCATGGAGCACAGTTCTGCTCTGACACACAGGGGGTCGCCATGAGTCGGAGTTGATTCGAGGGCAACTGGTGTTTAGCTTGTTTCCACGATCGGGCCTCATTCTCCCCTGACTCGTGTCTGAAGCTCTTATGAACAGGCAGTAGTTGGGGGAAATATTTGGGGCTCTCATCCCCCCTCATTATTCAGCGCCCTGCCAACCGGCCTCCACCCCACTGCCTTGCCAGTCTTTTGGTCCCCTAAATGTCCTTCTCTTACCGTGAATGTTCACCAAGAAGACCTTCACACCGACCTTCCCGAAGGTGGCGCCCAGCTGGAAGCGTTGGAGGGGGTGGTGGGGAAGGGAGACAAAAGGAAAGGAATGTTTTGAGTGGGTCTCAAAAGTGATTAACAAAATGAACGTCAGAGGGGAAGCCAAACAAACAAGCAACCCCAAGGGCCCTGGGAGCCAAAGATAAAAATAGCAGCAAAGCACACCACTTCTTTCTGGAGTGTTGGCTGAGGGCTTCTCTGCAAAGTGGGCGGAAATGGCGCTTTGCCAATGTGGCAGGCACTTAAAATCACCACGGCCCCTTCTTATGGGGCCAGATCTTTCCTTTCAGTAGTCAGATTCCCAGAATCCACATCTTTCCCAACTTTGTGGCCTCAGGCAGACACCGCAGGGGAGGACTAAGGCTCAGAGGGGATAGGATTTCACTTCAGCCAAGGCCAGCCTGGACTTCAGGCGCAGGCCTGGGAAGCAGGCTAAAGCCCAGGCTGGGAAGGATGTCAGCCTGTATGCTCTCTGTTCCCTGCGCTGCCTCTGTCTGAGCCAGCTCTGAGGTTTGCTGACTCTCTGCCTTCAGAGGTGACCGCTGAAAAGTTATCAGATTGATACATTTATTCAAGGTGTCTCGTGGGCTGCCTGTTTGGCCTGAGAGTGCTGGGAACTGATATCATTTCTTCTCCTCTCCTTGGCAGGCCAGAACCAGCTGACTGCTAGGGTACAGGGTGAGTGTGAGAAGAAGCAGCAGGTCATGAGCCTGGGGCCAAGCTGGACTCTCCTCAGAGGAGCCGGGAGTGGGTTCCAGGTGGCCTGAGAGGTGACTACTTATGGCTCTGTTAGGACAGGGTGGAACAGTGAGGCCTGAAGCTCTGGTCTCCTTCTCCAGGGCTGTGCTGGGCCTGCCCTGCAGAGAGCATGCCATCCTGGCTGCATCTGGGGCCCAGAGGGATGAATCTGTAGCTTCCTTGCTCAGCTTCCTCCCTCAGCTTGTGGAAGTGAGGGCTCCAAGGAAAGGCAGAGGGGGAGAGCAGGCTGGGCAGGTGCTCCCTCTCTCTGGGGGCCTCACCTTGGCCAGAGCTTTGATGCCCATGAGGTCCACAAAGCTGACTCCACTCATGTCGAGGATGAGGGTGTGGAAGGTGACGAAGGGTGGGACACTGGCCAGGATGTTGCTGGTGCTGGGTTCACTGGGGGACTTAGCTGAGGCCGGGAGCTCACAGTGGGCACCTGAGGAGGCGTCAGGGCTGAAGGTGACGTAGAACACGCTGGCGCCATTAGTGGGCTTCTGGTTGTTGTTGGGGTCGGTGGGGGTGGCGTTCTCAAAGTCCTGCTGGAGCTCCTGCAGGGAGACAGTCTAGAGGGGCGGGGGGTGGGGTCAGAGTCAGGGCTTATTAAACTGAATGTGACTTTGCTGTGGCTGCAGCAGGGGCCGGAGAGTGGGAGTGGAGGTGAGTAACTGAACTTGGTGGTGGCAGGTGACCAAAAGCCTTTGTTTTCAGCCCTGAAAACCCATACGAAGGCTTCTCCCAGCCTCTTCCTCAGGCGCAGCCTGCAAGCTTGGCCTCCGACAACTCAGGACAAGTGGGGAGGTGCCTTTGGAGAGAGCCACTGAAGCCTCAGCACTCTGCTCTGGGAAGAAGGCTCTTTGGAAACAACTGAGCCTCTTTTGGCATTTGCCCATGTCTGCCTACATCTCCCCACAACTCCCATGCCCACCCCAGCCTGGCTAGTTCTGGGTCTGCTGGGAACCCTAGTTAATTCACTGCTTCTCTTCATCCAGGGTTGTTCTTAGGTCTGTGGGCCAGGTCCTGTCTTAGCCAGAAAGTGGGGAGGGGCTGTCATGGGAGTTCAGTGGTTACCCTGGGAGCTGGCAGCCCCTTGCCCAAGAAGATTGCCAGTGGCCAGCAGGCAGCGGCCTCAGAGACTTTCTGTCTGCCTCGGAGGTGCTGGGAGGTGGGACACCAGGGGATAAGATACGAAATGAGCATGGGAGCAGGAGCCTTGGTTTACCTTGGTTTTCATGAATAGAGATTTCCGGTGCTGTATGGGCATCTTTCTTTCCTTCTCTTGCTTTTTGAGGTATTTTTGCTTGGCCAGTAATACTTTCTGGGGGTCCACACCTGCCTGGGGGGAGAGAGCCAACAGCAATCTTGACCTCTATCCTCTCTAGAAGGGGCCTGCTCTCAGCTCCCTGCCCCCTTCTGCTCCCATATTCTGGGCTGGTTCTTGGGTCAGCCCCTTGGTTGCCAGAGTGCTGGGCCTTACCTTGGCAATGACCTTTTGCCTGAAGATCTCTGAGTTGGCGAAGTAGAGAGGGGAGCAGTAAGTGATGATCTTAACCCCTTTAATTTCCTGGACCTGTGATGGGCAGACTGGGCTCAGGTAGCAGAAATGTCTTTATTGGCTTAAACAAACAAACAAACTCAGCACCTCGGGGTGGGGGCAGGGCAAACGGGAGTAGTCATAGGCTGGGGTTACGTACCCTATTGTAGGTCTTGGGATTCACATAAATGTCAGTGTCCATGACCTGGGCCAGAGCACAGCCATTTCGACTGGAAGGAGAAGACAAAGAGAAACCTAAGAGAATGTCAATGGCTTACAGGCCTGGAAGGATGCTGGGATGGGAGCTGGGGCCAGGGGCAGGGCAGGAGGGCGCCCCTTCTTCATCCCCGGATGTGTTTGTTTTTCTGCACTGGAGATACATGCCTGGCAGCTTATGGTTGGGCATAAGGGGATGACAGGCAGGTCCTTGACAAAGCTCCCAGACTGGGGCTCAGGACAGAAGAGGGGATACACAAGGCCACAAGCTTAAGTGGTCCCTGAAGTCATCACTTGCTGGTTCTGAGTTCTCAGGAAGGGAAAACAGGGTTTCCTTAACATTCCACATCCTCCCTGCCCTGGCCCGAATCCCCCTACTGGTGCCACTGGCCTTCACTACTTAATCCTGCTCCAGGAAGGACACAGCATCTGTCCCATGGTCTGGTATTCTCCTGGGTGGACTTACGTTCTGGCAGTGCCTTTGGAATGACTGAGTCTCACCTACCCGCTCTTCTCCCACTTTCTCTGGTCCCTTCCCTTCAGCCCTCTGGGACCATGATGACTTTCTACTGGATATTTAGGGTATGGGAAGTCAGACAGCCCAGCCTGTGCCCACAGTCCTGGTTGGGTTGGCTCCCCTACAGGCCTGGCAGCACCTCTAGTGCAGGCCCAGAAGGAGTAAGGGCCTGGTGGTCTGGGCCAGGCCTGGGCATGGGAGTCCTTGGCAGCCTGAACTAAGGACCCTAGTGCTGTGCCTTGGTGGGAGGAGGGTGTTACTTACAACTGGGTCTGGAAGACCACAACCAGGACAGAGAAGGCGACGCCCACTGCCACACCATATGGCAGGCTCAGGAAGAAAGAGGCGAGGAAGCTCACCACCCAGACGCACTGTGAGGAGAGAGCTGTCAGAAGCAGGCCTGGAGAAGGCTGACTCTTTCAGGAAGTCTTCCTGGATTAGCAAGCCATTCTCTACTAGCACAACTTCAGATCCACCCTTTCCTTTTTATTGCACTTTTGCAAAGTCTTATGTATTTGTGCTTCAGTTACACTCGCCCATTTCTCCTAGGTTGAGTGTGGCCCTCTGATCTTGTCTATTTTTTTTTTTTTAATAGACAACCCAGCGCATGCAGGGAGGCAGCAGGGCATGATGATAAGAGCATGAGCCTTGGGCCAGATATGCCTGGGTTCAAAGCTTGATTCTCCTACTTACTAGCCTCAGTTTCTAACCCACAAAGGGAGAGTATTAATACCTACTGTACCTCATGAAAGGAATAAAGAGTTATAAAAAAGACCTAGCCTAGTGATCCACCACCCATCCGGTAGCTTGCGTATTGTTATGATGCTGGGAGTTGAGCCACCAGTATTTCAAATACAAGCAGTGTTACACATGGTGGATAGGTTTCAGTGGAGCTTCCAGACTAAGACTAGGAAGAAAGGCCTGGAGATCTACTTCTGAAAATTAGCCAACGAAAACCTTATGGATCACAACAGAACACTGTCTGATATAACAGTGGAAGATGAGCCCCCTAGGTTGGAAGGCACTGAGAATACACAGTGGCTACAACAACGAACTCAAGCATAACAATGATCATGAAGATAGTGCGAGACTGGGCAATGTTTAGTTCTGTTGTACATGGGGTCACCATGAGTCAGAGCTGACTCGATGGCAACTATCAACAGCAACAGCCAAGTGAGGGAGACACATTGATGGTCAATAAATGTGAGTTCGCTTTCTCTGTCTAACAGTGAGCTCTCAATGCCCCTATAGGTGCTCAGTGACTGCTTCCTGAACTGACTGCCTGGTGCTTGGTTGTGTGGGTGGGGAGAGAATTGGATGCAGCTTCGATAGTTGCACCCTATGGACCCTTTGTTGTTGTTGTTGGGTGCCGTCAATTTGATTTCGACTCATCGCAACCCCATGTGACACAGTAAACTGCCCCCTTAGGGTTTTCTAGGCTGTAATCTTTATGGAAGCAAATCTTCAGGTCTTTCTCCCGCGGAGCAGCTGGGTGGGTTCGAACTGCCAACCTTTTGGTTACCAGTCAAGTGTTTAACCCTTGTGCCACTAGAGCTCCTGATGGACCTTTAGGGTCCTCCAAATCCCTCTAAATAAAATAAATCTGCCCAGATTCTTGTATAGAATTGCTGTGAGGCCAGGAAGACACAAGGCATTATATGACTGTTGCTATGGCATAAACCCTGGTGGCATAGTGGTTAAGAGTTCGGCTGCTAACAAAAAGGTCGACAGTTCAAATCCACCAGGCGCTCCTTGGAAACCCTGTGGGGCAGTTCTACTCTGTCCTGTAGGGTTGCTACGAGCTGGAATCAACTTGACAGCAATTATTTTTTTAATTGCTATGGCAGACAGATTGTTGGGGTGTGTTAAAAGCAAATCCCTGGGCTGGGAACTGGGACATACATTTTTCTGCATATCCTCATCATCCACTCACTGGGGGACCCCAGATGCACCAGTCAATTCTTTGGCTTTAGGATTTCTTTCTCTGCACTTCACTGGTGAGCCTCCCTCCTATCACAGACGGTATAGCCCAAAGGTTTGGAGTCAAAGACACTGGGTTCAAATTTATACTCTACCACTTAGTACCTCTGAGCCTTTAATGAGTTACTTAACCTCTTTGAACCTTGGTTTCATCATGTTTAAATGAGGTTAGTAAATCCTCTGTTAGGTTGTGGTGGGGCTTAAATGGGGATAATGCTGTTTCGTCAATACATGCAGCCTTTATTACTATTGTCCAGTGCAGTGAAGGATGTGACTAATCATAATGATATCTCGTGTTTGCAGAGTATTCTATGGTTTTTTGGTGCTTTCCCATTATGATCTCATTTAATCCTCGGGACAAGTATATGACGAAACCATGACTATCACCTGCATTTACAGATGAGGAAATAGAGCTCTGGAGAAGTCTAATAACTTGTTTAAGACTTTGGTCCTCTGGCTTTATGTTCTTGGATTTTTTTTTAACTACATCTTTTTGCCTTTCTGGAACTATGAATTATAAAAATAATGATAGCTAACTTTTGTTGAGCACAAGATACAGTTCGGGCAATGTACTACTTACTTGTCTTACATTTCTTCCTCACAGCAACTCTAGGTGGTAGGGAGCATAAAATTTCCATTTCACAGATGAGGAAGGTGAGATTCAGAAAATTTAAGTAACTGGCTTTCGGTCACTGAGCCAGTGAATGTTTGAGTTTGGATTTAATCCCTGGGCTATGCTATGCTAATTAGGGAGCAGCAAATGACAGGGATCATTGTTAGGAGAACTGAGATGGCTTTGGGGTTGAAGGAGGGGACAAGTGTATCGATGGGTACCCAGAGACTGCCCAATACCTACACAGTCCAGCTTGTTCTTCCTCCACAGATAGTAGGGGTCAGTGAGTTGCTTGAGGGAGTTCTTGAGGTTGACAGCTATCAAGGCTCCTAGCACAGACTGGGGAAGCAGAACATTGTCCCATGTCACCTTGGGTGTCACCTTCTTTCTGCCCTTCCTACAAATACCTGACCCTGGAGCCTGGCAGGACTGGCAGCTAGAATTCTAGAACTCCTTCTCTGGCAGAGCCCCCAACTCTGTGCCCTCAATCTCAGGTTTGGAGAATGTAGGCACTAGACCTGTGCGGTCCATCCTATCCTTGTTCTTCACCTTCCCCTCTTCCCTCATTCCTAAACAGCCCCAGCCCTAGACCCCTCCCACCTGGGCTATGAGAGAGTCTGGCCCTCATAGGCACTTGTGAACACTGATTGTGCAATGAACTCTGAGGCCAGAAGACTACAGTTTGAGTCCAGCTCTGCACTTGTTGGCTGTCTCACCATGGGCAAATCACGTACTTTTTTAGCCTCAGCTTCCTTCACCTGTAAAATGGGGAGAGTAAGCCCACTTTATTTACCTCACAGGGAGGTGATTAGGATTAAATTCGACGATGATAGCACTTTGTAATCTGTACAGCAATAATCCTGGTAGCTCTTAGGGATTGTTCTTACTTTCCTTCCCCACGAATCTCTTCCTGTCCTCTGCTATCTTGCTGGGCTCTTACCTTGGGGAGAGGGTACAGATAGGACCCCAGGACCAGCATGGTGATCATCACCACCAAGGACACACACAGGCTTGCCACCTATTCAGAGAAAGAGTTGAAAATATGGGGTGCTTGTGAATTCTTATTCTTGATTTATTACAATAGAGACTTTGGTAGAGGTGGGCGGAGGGTCAGGAGGAAAGAGGAAGGGTGGGGAGGCAGCTGGGTGTCTGTCTCCTCTGGATACTTGGTCTATACCCCACCACCTCCATCTCACTCCCCAGGTACTGGGCTCACCTGGGATTTTCCTCCAGCTCCATCCACAGCCAGAGTGACAGAGAGAGCACAGCAGATGACATGGATTTTAAAGAAGGAACCAAAGAAGTTGCTGCAGCCCAGAGCGATCATTTCCTATGGGGAGAGAAGGGCAGGGTTGGAAGCTGGGGGTCCAATGCCTGAGCCTGGTGTAGGGAGTGGGTGGTGGGACCGAAACCAGTCAGCCACCCAAGCTGGATCTAGGGCCTAGGAATTGTGAGCGACTCTGTAGTTATGAAGTTATGTAGTCTCAATCAATCTCATGGGGTCGGGGCCCTCCCCCCTCTTGCTGGCAGACAGCCTGCCTCATCTCAACCCAAAGAGCCCCAAGACGTCTCTTGCCCGGCCTCTGCTGGCCATGTCCTTTCTTGCTCAGCCCTGCCAGGGGCGGCCAGAGCTACCTGATTAGGATCCACGTCATAGCCATGTTTGTTGGCTAGGGTCCGGCCCATAGCCAGGTTGATGACGTAGCTCACGATGGCGAGGGAGAAGGCTGTGCCAATCATGTCCTTCCACTGAGAAACCACAGGTGTCACTGGAGTCGGAAACCTGCCAAGGAGCCAGAGAGGGGGCAGGGCCCAGGGGTGTGAGCAGAGGGAGGGCAGCTATGCCCTGCATGGACCCATGGGGACAAGCCAGGCCCCACCGTGTGCAGGGCCTTTACAGAAGTTATCCCTTCCAGTCTGAATCCTCAGTACAACCCTGCAGGGTAGGCATCATCACTCCTGCTTTACAAAGGAGGAAACGGAGGCTCAAAGACCTCAAACAACTTATCCCAAGTCACAGAGCCAATACATGGTAGGGCCTGGCTTGTTGAAGCCCAGATTCTGGACTCTTGAATGAAGGTATGCTGCTCTTGTTGGGTGCCGTTGAGTTGATTCCAACTCATGGCAACCCCACGTGATGGATTAGAAGTGCCCCATAGGGCTTTCTAGGCTGTAATCTTTACGAGAGCAGATCGCCAGGTCTTTCTCACTTGAAGCCACTGGATAGGTTCTTACCTCCAATCTTAAGGTTACCAGCCAAGCACTTAACTGTTGCACCACCAAGGCTCTTTTCAGATTCTAGACTTTTTACATCACTGGTCCACAGACCCTTTCCAGGCCACTGCAGTGCTGTGGGGACTTTCTCCCTCATCTGCTCCAACTCTACAGGCAAGCACTGCCCCTCTCCTCCCAGGGCCCAGTGCTTGGCACAGATTGATGCTGGGTGAATTCTGCCAATCCTAACAGAGTCCTTTCCACATGGATAACAAGAGCCAATGCATTAGAGCAAGGCAAAGGACCAGCAACAGGCTGACCATAGGAGCTTTGCTTGGATTGAATGAGACTTTGGGGAGGGCATACAAGTTAAGACTGAGTTTTCGTTAACCAAACAGCATTGGTTGGTTGGGCAGCTCTTCTAAGTAATTGTAATAATTCTCATCTGATCAGTGTCCTGTGGTTTATAATGCTCTGTTGTAGGGCTTGTCTCATCTGTCTCTTGGAGCCTAAGCCTTGGCAGGGGCATGGTGGGGCTGGGGCCAGGCTTCTGGGATGCTTGGACTCACCCATGTTGGATCTCTCCCACGATCTGCATGTGGTATTTTTTGGGCATGTTATAGCTCCCAGAGATAGCTGTCGCCGCCACCACCTGCAAACCCCAAAGTGGAGAATGGGGATTGGCCCTAAGTTGAGGCCACACAAGAGTCTCTCCCGGGACTCCCTTTCCCCTGGGGGCCCCAAACCTAACTCCCCTGCCTCCTTGAGGGGCAAAACCTGAGGAGCAGGAAGCATGGGGGCCCTACACAGGGGGACCAGATGGATTCATGCTGACATCCTGTTCTACTGGCTGCCAGTGGGTGGGCTGGGGCTGAGTAGGGGCTCCCCTGGCCTGGGCTGGGACTTGATTCCTCTTCTCACTGCCTCTCCAGCCTGGTCTCCCCAGCCCCGAGCCCCAGTCGAGGTCCTTACCACAATCATCTCTGTAGGGATGGGGAAGCGGATCTTGTGCATGTAGCGAGTATTGAGTTCCTTCACCAGCACCAGGATGACACCGCTGATGATGGCGAAGATAAGCGAGGCGATGTTGGTGTGGGGGAGGTTTTTGCAAATGTCAATGAAGGTCTGGGGGAGACAGCACAGTGCTCACAGGTTCCCACCCTTCTTCCCATGCTACCCCCGCCCTTGGGTGCCTGCCCAGTTAAGTCAACAACGCTTAATGGAGGGACAACCAGAGCAATCTTCAGACCCTGGTCACAAACACTGTTCTGTCCTCTAGAACCCTCTCACATAGTTGCTCATGCTGGGATGACAATGCTCATTCCCTTTTATTTCTCTGGAAAGAGTTCTAACTAAAGGAGGAGGGATAGAGGTTAGACACAAGGGAGGAATTCCTAGTCAGGGAGGGGTTGAAGCACTGGAATGGGTACTGATAGATAGTGTACATGTCCTTTTCTTCAGGGATTAGCCAGAGAGAACCTCAGCAAGCCCATGAGGTCATGTGTTCAACCCTGCTTCCCAAGATGGGAAACCCCTTGAATCCTCTCTGAACCACGGGTCATCCAGCCCTTGCTTGAGAACATGTCATAATGAGGAACTCACAACTTCTTAAGGCAGTTAACTCTGTTTATGTGTCTGCTGAGCCCCTCCCCAGTTGCAGGGGCGCATCCCCAGACTTACAAGAACAATGGCCCCTGGGCCTGCGTAGGAGGGGATGGTCAGTCCGAAGACGTATTTGAGCACCGAGATCAGGATCTGCAGGCCCGCGGCCGTCATGAAGCCCCTGATGAAGGACTCGGAGAGGTAGATGGCCACGAAGCCAAACTGCATGAAGCCCAGGCCCATCTGTGAGGAGGAAGGGGGTGGGGAAGACCAAGCCGGTCAGTAGCTCCCACAGCCGACTGACCCAAGGCCCGGGTTGGAGTTCCGTGCAGCCCTGGGACAGTAGTTGCTCTGGGGAAATGAGCCTTTCTTGACCTTGTCCTGACCTTGCCTGACCTTTACTGTCTGTCCACGCCCGCCATCGGACCTTTACTTCCTATAGAGCACAGGCCTCTTTGTCACTCACCTCTGGTTTCATTTTCTTTATCTGTAAATGAATGAGGTCTTCCTGCAGTGCTTCCTCTCTCAGTAAATGACACCACCATCCACTCAGTTACCCAACAGAAAACTTGGGAGTCATCCTACCTCACCACCCATGTCCAGTCTATTACCCAGCCCTGTTGGTGCTGCTGGCAAAATATTCCACCCCGCCTCCTTGTCCACTGCCACCACCTTGGTCTGGATGTCCCCATTGCTCGTGTCTGGGCCTCTGCATAGCCACCCAGCAAGTCCCCTGCCTCAGTTCGAATCCAGCCTCCCATCCATCATCTTCTTTGCAGGCAAACCCTCTGCTCTCTTCCTACACTTGGGGGACAGATCCTGGACTTCATTGTCTGGCCCCTGCCTACCTTTGCAGTCTCTTCTTTGGCCTCTTGCCTCTAAACCCTCTCTCCTCCAGGCACACCAAACTCCTTGCTGTTCCCCAGTCAGATCATACTCTTAGGCCTCAATCCTACTGGGTGCTGTTCCCTCTGTCTGGATCATTCTCCTGCACCTGTTCATTTGGTTATTGGTAACTTCTATTCATCCTTTAAGACTCAGGTCAAGTGTCACCTCCTCTTTGAGGCCTTCCCCGACCTTCTGTTCTGTGTTCCTACAGCTGTTTGTACGAAGCTCTATTATGCTGCTTATCTCACTACGCACACATTTATCTGTTTACATGGCTACTTCCTTTGCTGGGCTGTGAGTCTCCTGGAGAACTGAGACTCTTTCTTACTTGTCTTTGTATCCCAGGGCCTAGCCCAGTTGCTAGCACAGTGAAACAACCAAAAAAAAAAAAGCATTAATTGAATGAATGAATGAATGAAAGGTGCTCTCGGAAGTTGCTTCCTGCTTTTGCATTCTATCAGGCCGTGTTTCCCTTCATAAAACCTAGCACAGTTCTTTGCACAAACATGGGCAGAAGCTCAGTTTATGTAGTGCAGCTGATGCTGTGGCTAGGAGCAGAGGAGGCTGGAAGGGGACAAGGAGTGTTAGAGTAACTTAGCAGCCTGGACGCATAAGAAGGAGCAGAGGGAAGACTGTGCTGGCAGGGAGAATTGTTGGACACTGGAAAAGGTAGTGGAGCGAGGCTGTGAGTCTTTTTGACAGTCTCTAATCTCGGGGCGGAGCCCCCGGGTTAACGGTTAATGTGCTCAGCTGCTAACCAAAAGGTTGGAGGTTCAAGTGCATCTAAAGGTGCCTTGGAAAAAGGTCTGGTGATCCACTTCCAGAAGATCAGCCATTGAAACCCTATGGAGCACAGTTTGACTCTGACATACATGGGGTGCCATGAGTCAGGGCTGACTCAACGGCGGCTGGTTTTTATTGGTTATGCTCGGGACAGTTTTATCAGGTGGGGATGGTCCATCCTAGAGGCAAGTGAGGAGACACTCTGACTTTTCAAGTTCCTTTTAGACCCTGGGAATGGGGAAGAGGAAGGAGGTAGAACCCGAAATCAGCCTTAAATGTTCAACCTGGGGGCCCTGAGGCAGGGGCAGAGCAATGTGACGCCTTTCCAAGTCCAGGCCCTGGCAGGGGTGGGGCTGTCCCCTCACCTGGATGACAGCAGTCAGACAGGCTAGCGTGGCCGACACGTGCAGCCTTGCCGCCTCCATGGCCGCTGTGTCCACGTAGCTCTCGTTGGTGGCGTTGTTGAAGACCCGAAATTTCGACTCTGGGGCCAGCTGCAGACAGACGTTACCCACCAGGATGCTGATAACGGCAAAGGTACCTGTGGTGCCCCACCAAGCCAGCAAAAGTTAGAGGTTTGGGCCATGCCCACAGACACCAGGAAGGGGCGCAGCAATGCTTCCCAACCCCTGGGTGGTAGTTCCCCCACCTCCAAGGCTCCTCTCCTGCATAACCACAACCATTCACAACTGCACATAAGCTCTAATTTTCAAAGTGCTTTCATCTCAGTCGTTACTATTATTGCATTGGACATGTAACAAAACGGGCTTAGAAGTACAAACAGTGCCTGAGTCAGAAACCAGGCCTTGTGACCAGATATCTCTACAGTGGCCTGCTGGGCCAGCCTGTGAGTTAGAATGGTAGTTTCTCACATTTATTTAGCGCTTATGGTGTGTGATGTGTCTTGTTCCACCCAGCCTTCCCCATAGCCCAGGGAGGAAGGCAGAACAGGCCAGGCTAATTGAGGACACACACACTAAGTGGCTTCTCCAAGGTCACAGGAGACGTGGGACTGACTCGCATGTGACCATTCCTCCAGAGCTGACCAGCACCAACTCTAGGAGAATGCAGATGGCAAATCACCTGAACCCCCTTCACCACACCACCTGTCCTCATGTGCCAAGTCATCCTGCCTGCCGAGAGGGGAGAGGCCTTACCTGGCACCATCTGGTGCACACCCCCCAGGAAGAAGTAGGTCAGCAGGGGGAAGAAAGAGGAGTAGAGGCCATTGACCGCGGGAAGGTTGGCTAGCAGAGCAAATGCCATGCCTATGGAGGACGAAGAAATCAAAGGATCAGGGACACAGAGGTCATACAGGGTTGGGGTGAGGTGAGGGGAGAGGGATAAGGGAACGCAGCGGGCCAAGCCTGGCTGAGGGGAGCCTCCTCACCTTGTGGGACCTGGATACATCCACCACTGAGTCCGCCAAGCAGGTCAGGGATGAAGTAGTCTTTGATCTTGTACTTGGGGAGCCAGGAGAGCACAGGGAGCAGCCCAAACACCACAGTTTTGATCTTGGCTGAGGAACATCTGCAGGGGAAGAGAGCAGATTTCCAACCAGCATGGCTTAGACACTCCAAGTTGGGGAGTTGTTGTTGTGTGCCATTGAGTCGATTACGACTCATAGCGACCCTGTAAGACAGAGTAGAACTGTCCCATAGGATTTCCTAGGCTGTAATCGTTACAGAAACAGATTGCCAGGTCTTTTCTCCTGCTGAGTCGCTGGTGGGTTCGAACTGCTCACCTTTCGGTTAGCAGCCGAGAGCTTAACTATTGTGCCTCCAGGGCTCCTAATTTGGGGACAGACTATAACATCCTGTTCCCGGTAATTCATTCATTCATTTATACATCCATTCAAAACTAATTCAGAATTCAGCTATGACACTGAGCACCCCACTATGTTGTGTGCCAGGGATATTGAGAAGAAAAGTCAGGAACTTTCTCTTGAGAACCTGTCAACAGGCCCTGGGCATTAGCTGCAGGTCTTCTGACAGCCGGCCGCTCACCCTGGGAAGTCCACATGACTTGGTTTAAAGGTATGGATCTTATAGTGGCTTAGTCTTCTGAGGTGTCAAGTCCATTCCTGGCTCAGATGGAGTTTCTCTAGGAAAGGCTTCTCTGGATCCCTGTCTGGGCTCCTGCAGCTCCCTGTGCACCCTGCATTGTAATCGTTCTGTCTGTCTCCTGCATTAGTCGGCAAACCCCACCATGGAGAGAAGTCTGCCTCTCTCGTTCATCTCTGTATACCTCGTGCAAGATCCAGGGGTGCTTAGTAAATATCTGTTGAATAAGTGAATGAGTGAATGAGTGGAGGATGGGCTGGTATTAAAACTTAGTCCGAGTGGGGACTGCTTCCAGTTTTCTTAGGACTTCCTCCCAGAGGAAGGTTCCATTGTCCCTTAAAGGCGTGCTCCTGCTGACTCACCATCCTTTGTGTGTGATGATTTCAATACCAGAGTTCTTTCCCCTGGAGGGGGAGAGGGAAGGAGGAGAGGGAAGAATGGGGGAGCTGTTGCTGATCAATGCAGGGTAAGGAGAGTTGATCCCTTCCCTGTTTGTTGAACACCTCCAGGTCCTTTCATAGAAATCCAGGAGCGGTAGGATCAAGAGCCTACAAACTCAAGGGTGACAGCCAATGGATTGATGACTGGAAGGAGGGGCATTTGCTTTTCTTCTCCTGGTTGAGGAAACAAATATACTTGGAGATCATCTGGTGACTCACTGGCCAGCTCTGATTAGCCTCCTTTCCTGCCCGGCACAAATTCCTGCTCTTTGCTGTTGCTCAATAATAGTTTCTCTGACACTGGGTCCCCTGGATGTCACCCAAGGCTGGAACCAACACAGACGATGCTTTGTACCCCATGAAGTCTGGGCAGATTTTCTGTCCCAACCATTACCATCTGACTCTGGTCTCTTCTGAGGCTGGTGGGTACCTCTTCCATCTCAGGGATGGCAGAAGGGGTGTTGGACTGGTGGTCAATAGCTTAAAGCATCTTTAAAGCTTTGGCCCAAGAGAGAATCAGCTTGCTAGAGCTCTATCAGGTTCATGGCAGAGAAAACTGGATTCATGAAGACAGAGCTTGCTGGGGAAGAAAAACAATTCACTGGAGGGCTAGTACATGTCCAGCCTTGCTTGCAAGCCTGTCATATTTTGGGCAAAGCAAATTGAAGCCTGAAAGAAGAGTTGGAAACAGATGCCAAACACCGATACAGATGGCCCAGAGCCATAAAAAGGGAAGTGGAGAGAAGGATTAGCTTTCTAGAGATTCATTCATTAAACGAATACTGATTGAGCACTCCTGTATGCCAGGTACTGTTCAAGGCTCTCATGCCAGCCACATGGGATGTGCTATTTCCCTACATCCCTTTATAGTTCTTACCACCCCAGTGTTTCCAGGACAACAGCAAATACCCCATCTCCCCAGTACAGAAAGAGCCCAAACTTACACTCTTTGAGCACACGGGTGGCAGTGCCCACCTGTACAAGGGTGCACAGGTGTGGGTACGGTGCCTGGACACCAGGTACCCAAGGTCTCTTGACTGGAACTGGGCAGAGATGGATCCTCCCAGGAGAAGCAGGGTTGGGCTGGGGATTTAGTTAAGACTCAAGTGGGTGATTCCCCCGGCCTGAACCAGTTTCACCTGCATCTCTACTTCAGCCATTGCCGGTGACCTAAATCCAAGTAATTGAATCAGCTGTTTCCCCAGAAGAGTGAGGGAGAGAAGCCAGCGCATAGCTAGGCCTGAGGAGGTCTGCTGGAAGTCTGGGAAGCGGGAGGATACAGCTCATGTTCTCCGGCCTCTGGGGTATGGGCCTAGAGCACCTGGTGTAGCCCCTTCCTTAGAGCCAAGGCTTTGCTCCCACATCACAGTTCCAGGAAAGGAATGGTGGGGATTGGGGATCTGAGAGTGGAAAGAGTCCAGGGCTGGTGAGACTTCATCCAGGCCCCCTTCAGGAGAGCCTAGGAAATGAGGGCCTCCTTTGGGCATTCCCAGGAGGAGCATCTAGCAGGGAGAGAGAACAAAGGGCATGGGGTGGTGGTGGTTTCAGGCTTCCTTAACTTCAGTGGAGGAGGGAACATGGCGTTGAAGTAAGGACTCCGATGTCCCCTAACCTCCATGGTGTAGCATGCCCACCTACAGCTCTCTTAAGAACCCAAGAGAGACTTGGGTGGACTGAGAACGTGGGGGAACTCCAGGCAGGGGCTTGGGGATGACCCTGAAGCTGTGGATGGTTCTTGCTTCTAGTCCTCATCTTCCCTGGGGGTATCTTAGCGCAGATGGGGCTATAGGATCTTAAATTCAGGGTTTGGAACCTCACCTCCTGAGGGCCTTCCGCAACCCGTCTTAGGATACCAGGTGCAGGAGCCATGGCCTGGTGCAGGGAGAATTTTGGTTGGGGAGGAAGAGGGAGCAGAAGAAAGAGGATTCTGGTCTCTGAGCCACATACCTGAAGGCATTGCGAAGTTTCTCTCCCACTGGATACGTCCGGTCCTTCTTCTCAAACTCATCATCGAAGAGAGTGAGGGAATATGCGGCTCTGTCTACCACGTAGCGGGGCCTGGGCTGGCTCATGTCTGAGGCGTTGACAAGCTTTGGGAGAAGCAGAGTTGTGGATGGTGAGGGGCACCCTTCCCCAGTGCCAGCTTGGGCCTTCTCTCTCTGGTCCTCACAGCAGCAGTTTTATGCTGGTCTTCCTTGCCCCATCCGGCAAAGTGCCTCCCTGCCCTCTTTCAACTCTTCCCACCAGACTCACTTCCCCTGGTGACCTTCCTTCCCAGGTACTGATGATGCACACACTCACCCTGTTTTGCTTGGTGCCCATCATGTGGCTGGCACACCATACCTGTGACATCACCGTCACCCCCGCTGAACACCAGCGGAAAGGAGGTGGGAATGTGAGGGCAGGGGTCACAGCTGGGACTCAGCACATGGATCCCATCCCCCCAGGGGACCCCTGGAGCCCCCACAAGCCACTCTCCCTCCCCAGACCTCAGTTTCCTTGGCAGAAAGGCTCATACCATTCAGCCAGTCTGCTTGGAAGAAACAGAAAACAGCCTGCCTAGAGGCAGAGGGATGACTGAGGTGACCTCAGGTGGACCCTTCCTGAATAAGATGTCTAGGACCTCACCAACAGGTTTCCCTGGGGACAATGGTGTGTTTGGGGAAATCAGGATGGTCTGCCGGAGGGTCTCTCCCATCGCTTCCTGTGCCTAAGCTTTTCCCCACCCTTGTGAGACTGTCTGCCTCACTTTTTGCGAAACCTTGCTGAAGTTCCAAGAACTGAGTGGGGCAGGGCTAACAGCCAGGGCCCCTGAGGCCAGAGGAGCTCCCTGCAAGAACCTTTCCTTCTCCCTCCTCCAATTTTTGGCCCCTGTCCTGCACCCTGAGCTGGGAGAAGCTCATTCGAGGACCTCAGAGGAAGAAGGAGGGAGAGGAATGAGATAGGGCAGGCTTAGAGGGAGGATTTATGTCTGAGAGGTGTGGGGTGTGGGGTGGCCATAGCCAGCTTGGAAAAAGATTTGAGATGGGGTTGAAAGTGAGTAACTACACACGGGGCTAGGGATACACTCGCCTTCCTAGCAGAGATCCTGGGAGAGTGGAGGAGGTTCTCAGAGGGGAGCAGGCTGGGGAAGAGAGCAACAGTAAGAGCGTTGACTGAAGGTCTAGAAACCTGGCCTCTGGTCCTGGCTTTCCTGGTGAGGAGGAATGGGTGACATCAGTAAAATTGGGGAGAATGTACCTACCGCACAAGGTTGTTGAGAGGATCAAATGAGGTAATGGATGCAAAGGGTTACATAACATGCCCAGAGTGATGCAAACATGAGTTGTTTTTATTAATAAGATTGTGCTCAAATTAATGAAGGTTGGGCTGGTACATTCTATTCATTTGGTGTCAGAACCCCAAGGTCCACAGAGAACTATAAGCAAGGGCTGGATGTTGGCAGACCCCCACGGATGGTACCCAACTGGAAGGAAAGGTGGGATTGAACCTACCCACAGCACCTGGGCCTAGCCCGGTGTCTGGCACTTAGTATGTATTCAATAAATGCTTGTGCAGTGAATCAATACATGATGTTTTGGAGGAGATATGGGCAGAAATGAGTAAAGGTGATGGCATGTGTGACATCTCAGTGGGAGAAATGAGAGGCAGATTCGCATAAGGGAAATAGCACAATTTTTTAGAGTTAGAAATGACCCGGGTTCAAAGATTTGGTTCCTTCATCTGCAAATGGGGATAATAACAGTCCCTGAAGGTGGCTACGAGGATTAAATGAGATCATGTGTGTGAGGTGGCTGGCCTTTCATAGGCACCCAACAAATGGTAACGGCCATGATTACTATTATTAAGATGGGAGGGTGCTTCCTTCCTCCTAGGACGGACTAGTCAGAGGCTTCCAGCCCTTCACCCTCTTGGGAGGCAGCTTGACCTCACTCCTCTTCCCCACCCTCTCCAGGGTCTGGGAGGGTCTGGCTTTCCTGGTGGTCTCCCTGGTGGCCCCCTTGGGTGCAACAAATGGGGAGTATGACCCTTCAGGCTTTACCTTAGAGAAAGGCTTGTGGTTTGGGGACTCTGTCCCAGGCCACTGAACAGGCTACTCACAAAGGAGTAGCCAAAAGTTTCAAGGGAGTTGAATCAGCCGAGGGGAGCCCCCCGGGAAGAGGGGGTAATGGGAGACTGTTTCCATGCCAACCAGCAGGGGGTGAACCCGAAGTCCTTTTCCAGGCTGCTTTCAAAGGCTATAAACTCTACTAGTGCATTTGTGGGAAGGGTAACACCTGGACCTGACTAACCCAGCTTCCCCTCCTGACTTCCCCATTTCCTCAGTGGTACCTTTCTCCCTGTCACCCACGCCTACCCCACCCCCCTTGCCCCTGCCTTTCCTTCCCCCTTGGCCTCCACATTGAGCTGTCTAATCCTATAGCTATTTCCTTCCAGCATCTCTCCTGTCCTTTGCCTACTGTGTCTCATCCCTACCCCCACCCCCGTCTGTTCAAGTCTCACCACCTCGCACCTGGACTATTGCAATAACCTTCTAATGGACTCCCCCGGCCCCTCCAATCCAGCCTACACCCCCTGCTCAGAAACTTCAGCTTCCTCATTGCCAGTAGGGTCAAACCCAGACAGTATTTTGGCATTTTCATCCTTTCTCCGTCTGGCCCCTGGGTCCTTCCAAACCTCCCAGGCTGGGCTGTTCAGCAGCCCCCAAAGAGGCTTTGTTCACTTCCAGCTGTAGGTCCTTGTCCACACTCTCCTCCTTACCTGAGATGCCCTGACTCTTTTCTGCCTTTCTAGACCTGCCCACCCTGAAGACTGGCTTGGGTTCTTCCTTCTCCTCCCTTTCCTGCTCCTCCTTGTCCCTTCTTCCTCTTCTCCTCTGTAGCCTCTCCTGACCACAAGCCCGGAACGGTCTCTCTTTCTCCTCTGACCTCCTGTAGCTGGGGTTCTCTGAACCTCTCCCGCCAGTCTGCCTTGTTGGTGTTGGCCTTTCCTTGTGGTCATGTCCAGGGAAGGGAGGTAGGAAAGGGGGTGCTGGTGGTGGACAACCTTCAGAGAACAACAGGTGGATAGTCAGGACTGTTTCTGCCTCTTTGGGAAGACTTCCCTACAGATGAGTGACTAGATGCCAGGGGAATCCCCTCTTACACAGGCTGACAGAGGAGAAAAGTTCCCTTGCTTTACCAGAATACACACTCTGTCCCTTTTCCATGCACCCTACGCATTTCATCCCAGAAATAGGGTGTTGGAAGGGAGAAGGATCTGGGAGCTTTCACTATCCTGAGTTTACACCTCACAAAAAAGGAAAGAGAATCCAGCAGACTTTCAGACTCACCGGAAGTGTTGTCTAGAAGGGAATTTGAGGACTATGCTAGTCAAAACACAAACACACCAAAAAAGCAAACAAACGAAACCCAAACCAAATGAGCTGCTGTGGAGTCAACTCATGGTGACTCCATGTGTGTCAGAGTAGAACTGAGCTCTATAGGGTTTACAGTGGATCATGATATTTTCAGAAGCAGATCGCCAGACCTTTCTTCTGCAGCACCGTTGGGCGAGTTCGACCTGTCAATCTTCCAGTTAGTGGTTGAGTGCAAACTATCCAGGGACCTTTTGCTAGTCCCATCCTCTTATTTCGCAGAAGAGTCTTGGAGAGAGGTGGGATGGGAATTTGAACTGGCTGTTGACTCCAATTCCAGTGCTCCTGTAGGAAAGGGCTAGCCCTTCCAGGGAGGATGTTGATTCCTGACATTTGTGGGTTGCCCTTCAGTGGCACCCAGAGTGCCTCTTTCAAATTACCTGGGTGGCCTTGCCGCTCCGGCTGACAAGGCAGGAAGGACTGCTGGGTTCTGTCACTCCTGTCAAGGGCTCTGCCTCCCTTCCCTGCCTCAGTTTTCCCAGGACAATGACAGAGTCTTAAATCTGCAGCCACAGCAGCTGACATGGCTTCTGGTGAGGATGTGCCCTCACCACGTTTCCTAATCAAGAATAGGGGTTGAGGTGGGGTGGGGCTTAGGAGGGGAGGTTACTTCATCCCCAGCCAGTCCTTCGGGCCATGGGGCTGGTGCAGGAAAGGGGGATGGGAGGGTGGGAAAGGGTGAGCCAGTGTGGTGGGGTGGGAGGGCACTGCCTTTTGTAGATGGGATCCTGGGGTCCTCAGCGAGTTGAGGGAACCATGGGACCCTGGAGCCCTGGAGAGGGCTCCTCAAGTGCTAGGTTAGGGGTGGGAAGGTGAAAGAGGGAGCAAGAAGAGAGAATTCTGGGGAATTTGACAGCTTGATCCCCAGTTAAACAAACACACAGCCCTGCCCAGTGACGTCAGCGTCGCTGAAAACAGTCAAGTGCTCTGTTGCCGTAGGTGTGTATCAGCGGGCCTGCCTCCCATCAAACAGTGTCAGCCCCTCGCCCCCTCCCCAGCCCCTGCCCAGCAAAGCAGGGATCAAGAGCAGGTGCCATGTGACAATACTGAGGAAAAAAAGGTGACCGTGCCACCCTCCTCCACTGTGGAGGAAACCAGGGCTGGGTCCTGAAGAGCTGGAGTGACTTAGAGGAGGGCTGTGGGCTTCAGGGAAGGAGACAGACAGGAGAGAAGAGCAGAGGGTGGGAGAGATGGGTGCATGGACAATTCCTAAGGCTTGGCAGGGGCGTGGGGTTGAATCTAGGGTCGGAGGGGGACTAGGGATCTTGCAGAGCTGAGGAATGGGGGCAGGGTGTGGAGCAGAGGGGAAATGTACCCCGTGGGGAGGGCACCGAGTAGAGTAGGATCCCTGGACCTCTCATCAGCATCCTAATCCCCCCACAATGTGCCCACGCAAAAGAAAGCCCATTGGTACCTCCTCCCAATCATTTTCTGACTAGTTGGCTGTCATCCTCTGGGCAGAGATGGGCTTGAGCAGAGTGCCTGAGCTAATGCACGGAAAGGCTTGGAACAGTGCCTGGCCATTGAAAGCATGCAATCAATTCCAACCGCATTATTATTATTGTATTGGAGTCCCTGGGTGGTGCAAATAGTTAACACACTTGGCTGCTAACTGAAAGGTTGGAAGTTTGAGTCCACTCAGAGGCATTTTCGTCC